CTCCTCTGCTCCTCTCCCTCCTCCCTCTCCTCCTCCTCCTCCTCCTCCTCCTCCTCCTCCTCCTCCTCCTCCTCCTCATATGTTGGTGGGCTGGAGGCCCAAAAGCTCGTCTATAGGTCATTTTTAGGGTTACTTCAGATCAGCTTCGAAGACACGCCTCTTGCGGAGTTAGTAGTAGGCCCCCTCCTCTTTGCAGCGCGCTTGGTTGCCGTTACCTTCTAAGTCTTCTTGCGTATTTTCTGGGCCGTCTAGCTAGTGCAGCAGCCTCCCCTGAGGAGGTTGAATTCACACCGAGCTAGCTTCTAGGACTGACCGTTGTCTCGAGGGTCTCGGGGCTCCTCGAGATACCCTGACGCAGCGATGAGGAAGTTTCGATATCCGTTTTCCAGCCGAGGCTCGCCTGAATCCGCAGTCCCGGCCTTGAGCCAAAATGGCAGCGGCATGCATGCCACGCGGTGCGAGCCTTTGCGCGTGTATGAAAACATGCCACGACTGTCACTGCTCACGACCTCTAGACCGCAGGTGCTCCAGCCGCCCCCAGCGGCCAGCGGGCACCTCGGAGGGGCGGAGTCGGACCTCTGGGCTCGCGCCACGAGAAAGCCAGGACGTTGGGGCTCTGGGGCCACTGCCTCGGGAGGGGCTCCGGCCAGTCCACTTGTTCTCTCCCGGTGAGCGCGCGCGCGCGCGCTCATCGGCGGCTTCTTGGCGCGGCGCGGCGCGGCGCCCGCCCGCGAACGAGCAATCGGCCCCCGGGCCCACGCATCGACAACATTGGAGTGGCCAGATGTCTTGGACTGCCCTGCGAGGGGCTGGCCAATCCGCTTTTCTTTCCTGGCGCGCGCGCGTTGGTGGCTTCTCTGACCGGCGTGGCGCTGCGCCCGCCCGCGAACGACCGAAAGTGTGTGTGTGTGTGTGTGTGTGTGTGTTGATGTACAGTGAGAACTCATGCCAAGAAACACCCTGCTTGCCTCCGGGGTGCCCTGGGTTTCTGGGCTGTCGATGGTTTTGCTATGGAAGGTGTGACGTTCCCACGCCGGAAATGGATGATGGCCTGTTTCCCAACACCACCACCATAAGTTGGAGGGGGAGGGGGTCCTCCCTCCCCCACCTCCTCCTCCTCCTCCTCCTCTTCGTCCTCTTCCTCCTCCTCGTCCTCCTCGTCCTCCTCGTCCTCCTCCTCCTCCTTCATCCCTCCAACTTATGGTGGTGGTGGTGGAAAACAGGACCATCAATGGATGGACGTCATGGGGTCTCCAGGTTGGGCTTCTTGCGGCAGGCTTTTTGTGGTCGGGCCCTTACTGTGAGGCCAGGGCCCCGAAGCCTCCCATTGTACTTCATGGCCCCCCGTTCTTCTTTCGGCACGTCCCCTGGCCCCCCCCTTCGTCCGCGCGCCGCGGGCCCTCACGAGGGGACCAGCATCTACGAGCACGTGCCGTTGTCAGCCGCGCTGTGCCCCCTTCTATCCCTCAGTTCCCTCGCCCCCCGCCCGCGGGACCTCCTCCTTCCCCTCGTCCTCAACCCGATCCAGGCCGCACCGCCTCTCCTTCCCGCTGCCCTCCCCCCCCTCGCCAGGCCTCGGGTGGCGAGGCGACATGGCCCTCCTGGCCTCCCCTGGTCGCCTTTTTGGTGGCACGCTGAATTTTCCGATGTTTATCCGAGGATCTTTGGGGACCATGTTGAGCCGGTAAGCTAAACATTCAGGAGGGGAAAACACACAGGCACAATTGATTGTCGGTCCCCCAGGAAAATATGGGCAACATCTGGGATGTGGGGGAAAACAAAAAGCCAGAACATCTAGAATCTTTCGGGGATTTCTGGTATGTGTGTCTATTTATTTGTGTGTCCCTGGGCGCCTTCAAAGATGCCCTCTCTTCCTTCTGGTTCTTCCTACCCCTCGCCCTCCGCCCGATACGGGCCACGCCGCTCTCCCCTCCCCCATCCAGCTGCTCTTTCCCGCAAGGTCCCCGAGGGCGAGGCGACGTGGCCCGCGCCGCCGAGCGACGCGGCAAGGCTGCGGCCACAGGGGGAGAAGGAGCCGCATGATAAGTGAGGAGGAGGGGAGGAGGAGGAGGAGGAGGAGGAGGAGGAGGTGGAGGAGGAGGAGGAGGAGGAGGAGGAGGAGGAGGTAGAGGAGGAGGAGGAAGGGGAGGAGGAGGAGGAGGAGGAGGAGGAGAGTGAAGGAGAGGTTTGAAGGAGAAGTAGGAGGAAGGAGGGAGAAAGGAGTACGGAGGAGTAGGTGAAGGAGGAGAAGGAGGAGGAGAAGGACAGGAGGAGAGGAGGAGGAGGAGGGTGCTGAGGAGGGGAGGAGGAGAGGAGGGAGGGGGAGAGGAGGTAGGAGGAGGTGGTAGGAGAGAGGAAGGAGGAGGTGAGGAGGAACTGAGGGAGGGAGAAGGAGGAAGGAGGTGGAGGAGGGGGAGGAGGGGAGGAGGGAGAGAGTGGAGAGAGGAGGAGGCGGAGGAAGCAGGAGGGGGAGGGGGAAGATAGGAGACTGAGATATTTACGACGCCGCATGTCTGTGTCTGGCGGCCTCCGGGACGATCCGGGCAGCCCCGGGTCGCTCTCGGCGAAGGCATCGCCAGATGGGGCAGGGCCTCCCGGAGCCCGGCGAGGCGCCCGACGTCCTGGAGCCTCGAAGCCCGCGGAAGCCTCGGAGAACCTCGATCGACGCGAGGGTTTCGTCATCCTTTTCCTCCCTCATCCCACCAATCCCTCCTCCTCCCCCCCCCTCCCTCCCCCTCCCTCTCCCTACCTCCCTCCTCCTCCTCCCTCCTCCCTCGCCTCCCTCCAACCTCCCTCCTCCTCCTCCTCCTCCTCCTCCTCCTCCTCCTCCTCCTTGGGTTGGGGCTGGACCCCCCCCCTGGGGGGTGCAGCCCCAACCCAGGGAATCCGCGTGGAGTTCCCAGCGTTCGTCCTCATGACCAGCCTGCCTTCCATCGAGAACAAAATAATGTCTAAACTTAATACCACGATGAAGACGCTCCTCACTGAGGGGATCATCGATCTGGGCGGTTTAGCCTGATGCATCTACAGGAAAAGACCCCCTATCCCTAATGTCCCTGGCCCTCCTAAGCTAGGTTCCCTCTAAAAGGGTTAGGGTTCCTTTCTTGGTCAGTCACTCCGTGGTTTTGCCCCTGCCCGCCCTCCCCCCGCGCGCGCCCTGCGCCGCGAGGGCCGAGCTGCCGCTGCGGGCCGTGTGGGTCGACGCGAGCGAGCTGAGGCCGCGTCTTTGGGGCCTCCCCCGCTGCGTGGGGTTGGCGCCGGCCCGGGGTAACGTCAGTCGGGCGGACGGCAACCAGATCCAGGTGATGCCTTGTTTATCACGGGCGATCTTGCCTTGCGTCGGGCCCAGGAACCCTCACAGATCGATCTGGCTCGACAGATGCCGCAGAGAGATGAGGCCTAGGGCTCTGGTCGTGATTTTTGACGATGCGTATTTTTTCGAGACGACGGATCTCAGGGTTACGTAGTCGGGCGGGCGGCAAAAGGGGGGCAACACACGTGGGGTGATCGTGGATTTCAGGAGTGTGTCCCGAAAGGGGCCGCACAAATGGTCCCCACATTGCCACCACGGGCCCAATAGGTGGACGACCGGTGTGCGTTTCTTCTCTCTCCGTTTATTGCCGTCCCGTTGACGAAAACCGAGGTAACCTCAGGAAATGTTTAGTTCTGAGGACCTCGCCCCTCCTCCGCTCCTCCTCCTCCTCCTCCTCCTCCTTCTCCACCTGCACCTCCTCCTCCTCCTCCTCCTCCTCCTCCTCCTCCTGCTCCACCTCCTCCTCTTCCTCCTCCTCCTCCTCCTCCTCCTCTTCCGCCTCCTCCCCTCCTCCTCCTCCTCCTCCCTCCTCTCCTCCTCCTCCTCCCCATCCCCCTCCCCCTCCCCCCCCCCTCCCCCTCTTCCTCCTGCTCCTCCTCGTCCTCCTCCTGTCCCTCCTCCTCCCCCCCCCTCCTCCAGCTCCCCCTGCTCCTGCTCCTCGTGGTCGCTATAGTTATCGTATTCGTCGTCGTCGCCGTCGTCGCGGCGGAGATTCTATCCCATCTATTGTTGGGAGGTCTCGATCGTGTTGGGTAGTTCTTCCTCCCATGGAATAGTCCATTGTGGGCGACCCTACACGCGAAATTATTTGTAGGCATATTGTCACTCGGATTGCACTGCGAATCAGTGGCTGCGATTGTAGTCATGGTTGGAATCGTGTCTATAACCGTGATTATAGTAGTGATTGTAGTCAGAATCGTAGTCGTGGTTGTAGTCGTCATCGTTGTCGTCGTCGTCACGGCGGATGTCATTTTCCCTGTATTGTTGGGCGGGCTGGATAAGCTTGGGGGTATCTTTCTCCCATGGAATAACCCATTGCGGGAGGACCTGCACGCGAGAGGATTTGTGATCATCTTTTCATGAGGATTTCAATCGGAATCCGTGGTTGTGGTTGTAGTCGTGATTGTAGTCGTGGTTGTAATCGTGCTTGTCATCGTGATTCTACAATCAGGTTGGTCTCCCGTTCTGCCGCAGGGCCCAGGGACAATGTTCGAGTTTGGGCCGGTTTGGGAATTTCAGATGCATCTCTCACCCCTTAGAATATTGTCAAGGCCAAATGGGGTCAGCGTCTGAAAGTGCGATTCCGCCCGAGACTGTCAACAAACACATTCATGTGAAAATGGTGATTTCGCGTGGGATTTCCTCAACAACAAATCAGGTCGATCTTCATGCCGCTCGAGCGTGGCGATATCGCCTGAGAAGTCCTCAAGGGGTATTGTCCGGCAGCTTTTAACGCAGCTGGAAAGTGGCGATTTCGTTCGAGCTTTCCCAACAATCGCGCGTCTCATCCACCCTTGCGGCACCGTTCCTCTATTCGGGTCACGAGCCTGTTTGGGAGTCATCTTGGGATACATCGAAGGTCGAGACTCGAGGTTTTATCGATTAGCGAAGACTCCCTCGCAGAGTGCCGATCACTTTTTTGTAATCCAGGGGGTGGTAGTCGAGCTTGCCGCCCGCGCGCGTCCCCCACCGCGGGGACGGGGACTTCTCCTCGGACTAAGCCCGTTCTGTTTCGACGGACGGCGGTCCTTCCTTCTCCTCCTCCTCCTCCTCCTCCTCCTCCTCCTCCCTTCCTCCTCCTCCTCCTCCTCCTCCTCCTCCTCCTCCTCCTCCTCCTCCTCCCTGGAGACGTCATGCCGGAGAGGGCTCGTCACCCAGGAGACGCTGCTGCCCGAAAGGTCCCAGCTCACTCCGGCTGCGAGGAGTTTGACGATGACGATGACGATGACGGTCGTCGTCGTCGTCGTCGTCGTCGTCGTCGTCGGGAAAGCCTCCCAGGCCCCTTCGTTGCACGGAGCGTCTGCGTAGATCCTTTGGGTGGCCCAGCAGCCAGACGTTTTTTAGCGCTCCCGAAGCTCCGCGCGCCGGTGTCCTCCGGACGGAGGCTGGCGTGGGCCTCCCTCGGAGACGCCTCGGAGCCACCCCTGAAGCCCTTGAGGCGCGGAAGGAAACGAGGCTCGGCGCCCTGCTGCTGCTGCTCCGGCCCCCCCCTCCTCCTCCTCCTCCTCCCTCCTCCCTCCTCCTCTCCTCCTCCTCCTCCTCCTCCTCCTCCTCTTGCTCCTGCTCCTCCTCCTCCTCCTCCATCTCCCCCGCCTCCTCCTGCTCCTCCTGCTCCTCCTGCTCCTGCTCCTTCTCCTCCTTCTCCTCCTCCGCCCGGTGGCCGTCGCTGTCTTCCGCTCCCGCCACGTCTTGCAGCTGTGTGACAGGAAAACGCGTTGGCCTGATTCGGAATGCTTGTCGCCGCCCACCAGGCCGCCCCAACCCAACCCGAAGGCCCCGACTTGCCCTCCATTTCCAGTGGGGGCGGGGTCGGAGGGCATTGAACAGCACATCTGAAGCCCGTACCTCCCCTAACACGAAACTCGGATCTTCGGGTTGGGTTGGTGTGGTCTGGTAGGTTGCCAATCTTCGGCCCCCAGAGCCGCAGGAGCTATGCGCCGTACTGCGCCAGAGCGGGACCTGGACGGAGTCCAGACACGGCAGGTGCAGGGGCGCCGTCTTCGTAGGGTTTTGGTCCCCCCTCCCCAGGCATCCACGCGAAGGCTGGGGAGGAGCCTGAGTAGGAGGAGGAGTTGGAGGATGAGGAGGAGGAGTAGGAGGAGGAGGAGGAGGAGGAGGAGGAGGAGGAGGAGGAGGAGGAGGAGCAGGAGGAGGAGGAGGAGGAGGAGGAGGAGGAGTAGGAGGAGGAATACTTGTTTCCTATGGTTCGGCCCTGCTCTAAAACTGCCAACAGGGAGGCGTCTGCATCTCGCTGGGGGGGGGGGGGGTCCGTGAGTCTCGTAGCAATTTAAAACCACGAATCTCTCGCCTTGTGGTTCGCGGGTCATGTGGATGCTACAGCCGATTCCAATTGTTGGGTTTAGCTTCGCATTGCAAGCCCGCTCCGCTGACCAACACTACTTCGGTAGTAAATCATGGGAGCCTTGTGTACCCTCGTAGTTCCGTCTTTAGCGTCGGTTAGCGTCGATGAGCGTCTGGGAGTCAATGACATAGTGTCGATTTAGCGTCGGTTTGCGTCGATTAGCGTCGACTTAGCGTCTGTCAGCGACGACTAGCGTCGATTAGCGTCGATACGCAAGATCCGACAAGATGGTTTGGGAGGATCCCATGGGTTGCTACCGAAGGTTTTGCGGGTCATGTGGATGCTACATTCGATTCCAAGTGCGGGGTTCAGCCTCGCATTGCAAGCCCGCCACGCTGACCAACACTACACGATGATATCTCGGCAGGATCTCCAAACGACTGTGGCCCAAAGTTCTCGGCGATGCCGAGAAGGCGGCTCGTTCTTATGGGCAGGTCCATTTATATAGACAACTCGCTTCGCGGCTGGTCTCGTCCCATCGTCCATGACCCGAGTCCCCCCTCCAAATCCGGCTGTTCAGAAAATGACTCCCGGGGATGCGCCCCAGGGGGCCACTCGGACCTGCCCACATCGAGCCTGGACGCCCCCCCCGTCGCACAGGGCCCCGAGCTGGGCCCCAAATGTTTTGCCCGGTTGAAGCCCCCACAGAAGCCCCTCGGGGCCGCCATGCCACCCCGCTCTTCACCTCCTCCCCTCTTTCTCCTCCTCCTCCTCCTCCTCCTCCTCCTCCTCCTCCTCCTCCTCTCCCCCCGTCTCTGCGCCCTTCTCCCGTCGACGCAGGCGGCGCGCGCGACCGACCACCGACGGCTGGCGACCAACGGACCCGAAGACCGACGACCGTCGACCAGCCAACGACGACCGGCCGCCACCGACGGCAGACCGGCGACTGGCGACCGACGACCGACCGGCGCACGGCACACGGCGGCGAGCATCAAGTCGGGCATGTCCCTCTACAGGAAGAATATGTTTAGGACTGGTCATACAATAGTCCGGGGGCGATTTTCCGTACTCTTCTGACTATCTTGGAATATTTTTGAGACTACTTTCTTTATTTTTCTTCCAGATTTCGGGGGTGGACAAAACCCCCACCCTGACACGTCGATAAGTGAATTGTCCGTTTCTGGTTCTCGAGATGGCGCCGCGGCCGTCCTTTCCCAGGCTTGCGCCCGCTGGGCTTGGGCCCGAAGTCCTTTTACCTGCGCCACGTTTTGCTACAGGGGGTCCTGCCCATCCCCGAAAACTCCGCCTGTAGGAGGACCTGCCCGACTGAAGGCGTGCACGACGGGCCACTGGCAACCGGCCGAGCGGCGACCCGACCGGCCGACGGCGGGCGGGCCGGCGGCCCGCGCGGCGGTGCCGCGCGGCAGCGGCGGCGCCCCGCGGTGGGCCTCGGCGGCCCCCCCCGCGGGCCAGCGCGAGGCGCGTGCTGCTGCTGCCCTCCGGCGGGGAGGCTGTGCGCACGGGCCTCGGGGACTTCGCGCTCTTCCCCGTGTCGCGCCGCTTCCTGCAGACCGCGGGGGTGCAGAGGCGCGCCGCCTCCTCCTCCCTTCCTCCCCTCCTCCTCCTTCCTCCTCCTCCTCCTCCTCCTCCTCCTCCTGCTCCCTTCCTCCACCTCCTCCTCCTCCTCCTCCTCCTCCTCCTCCCTTCTTGCTCCTCCACCGTCTCCTCCTCGCGCTCTTCCCCGTGTCGCGCCGCCTCCTGCAGACCGCGGGGGTGCTGAGGCGCGCCGCCGCTGGCCCCCGTCGGCTCGTGCGTATCGTGCGCGGTGCGTCGTCTCGTCGGGTCGCCGTCGGGTCGGTGGCGTCCTTGCTGCCGCCGTCGTCCGTCGTCGTCGCGGTCGTACGTCTTCGTTGCCGCCGCCGTCGTCGCCGCCGTCGCGTGTCGTTCGTCGCTCGTCATCGTCCGTCGTCGTCCGTCGTCCGTCGTCCGTCGTCCGTCGTCCGTCGTCCTCGTCCGTCGTCGTCGTCGTCGGCGTCGTCGTCGTCGTGTTGGTCGTTCGTCGTCGTCGGTCTTCGTCGTCAGCCTTCGTCGCGCGTGCGTCGTGCGTCGCGTGTTGTTGGCGTCGTCGTTGGTCGTTCGTCATCGTTCGTTGTCGTCGGCCGTTGGCGCCGTCGTTCGTTGTCGTCGGTCGTCTGTCGTCGGTCGTCGGTTGTAGTCGTCTTCCTTCGTCCGCCGCCTGTCTTCTGTCGGTCGTGTGTCGTCCGTCGTCTATCGTCTTTCGCCCTCCTCCTCATCCCTCCTCTTCCTCCTCCTCTTCCTTCTCCTCCTCCTTCCCTCCCTGGGACACCAAGTGTTGGGGGATCCGCAATCAGGAGGCGGTGAGGGGATGGGGGGAGGGCTTCTCTCTTGGTGGCGAGGAGGAGCAACAGAGGAGCATTAAGGGTGTGGGACGTGACATGTGGGAGGAGGAGAAGGAGGAAAAGGAGGAGGAGAAGGAGGAGGAGAAGCAGGAGGAGGAGGAGGAGAAGCAGGATGAGGAGAAGCAGGAGGAGGAGGAGGAGGAGATAACGCAGGATGATGAAGAGGGAAGGAAGACGACGAGGAGGCGGGGGAATGGCGGGAAGAGGGGGAAAATGAGGAGGTCGACTATGATGACGATGATGACAGCGAGTATGACGGAGGTGGTGATGATGGTGTTGGTCTTGGCGATGGTGATGATGTTGCTGCTGTCGTCGTTGGCTGTCCCTCTTAATGTTTCAGCCCTAAAGAGAAACTACTTTTTCACTGTTGATCCCCTCTCCTCGCTGCCCACTATGTTTTTCAATTATAGTGCTCCTCCCGGGGCTCGAACCTTGTTTTTACACGGGAAGGTGTTGCTCCTCAGATTGTGCTCTTGGCCACCGGCTTGCTACAACAGCGGCTCCCGCCTGATATTTTTGCGCAGTGTATTCGAAATCGGGCTCTCGCGCGTTACTTCAGGAATCGCGCTCTCGCGTGGCACTCCCTTGCCACTTATGGAGACGCCGCGCCTTCGACACTCGAATCATGCTGTCGCCTTGGACTTCCTCACGGCTTGCTTGGGAATCGCGCTATCGCTCGAGTCCTCCTCGCGATTCATGTTGTATTGATTCTACAGCGGCCCGCCCGCTCGACCCGACCGTCTTATCCCGCCCGCCCGACCCGCCGGTCAGGGTCCACCCGCCGGACCGCCCGTCCGGTTGTACCGTTTGTGCTCCTGCTCCTAACCCGCCTCCTGCAAATCTCTTTCGTGCTCCATCTTTCTCCCTCCCCCTTCTCTCTCTCCTCCTCCCTCCCTTCCTTCCCCTGTTTTAGGGGCTGCGCCAACTACACGTGGCAGGTGAGGAAGGGATACCCCCAAGGGTGGTACGATCGAAGACGAATATCGAGGGTTCGGGGTGTCTAAACATGCATGTGTTAAGTGACACGCAAGAATATGAATGCGAACAGTATGAAAGCGAGTGTTGTTGTTGCTGGTGTAGTTGTTGTTGTCGTCGTCGTCGTCGTCGTTGTTGTTGTTGTTGTTGTTGTTGTTGTTGTTGTTGTTGTTGTTGCTGTTGTTGTTGTTGTTGTTGTTGTTGTTGTTGTTGTTGTCGTCGTCGTCGTCGTCGTCGTCGTCGTCGTTTTTGTCGTCGTCGTCGTCGTCGTCGTCGTCGTCGTCGTTGTTGTTGTTGTTGTTGTTGTTGTTGTTGTATTGTGTGTTGTTGTTGCTGCAGCTGCTGTTGTAGTTGTTGTTGTTGTTGTTGTTGTTGAGTTCCCATTCCTAAATGATAGTGTCATCTCCTCCTCTGATGCACTTGGGCGTTTTTTTTGTTTGTTTGTTTGTTTTCTTTTTATATATATATAAAAGTGTTATTAAAAATATAACAGTTGCCCTTCCAGGGCTTGTGGCGTATTTGTACAAGGGGAAGTCTTCCACCTCTGATTGAGCCCTTTGCCCCCGAACCACAACAACAACACTGGCCCCCGCCTGATACTTCCTCACAATGTATTACAACATCGCGCTCTCGCATGGGACTTTCTCACAGTTCATGCAGGAATCGCGCTCTCGCGCGGGACGTCCTAACAATTTATTCAGACACAGCGCCCTCGACACTCAGGAATCACGCTCTCGCTTTGGCCTTTCTTACGGTTTACTTGGGAATCGCGCCATCGCTCGAGACGTCCTCGAGATTCATGCAGGACTCACGCTTCAGCAACCCGCCCGCTCGACCTGGCCGCCTGCGCCCGCCTTCCCGACCCGCCCGCTAGGGTCTACCCGCCCGATCTGCCCGTTTGGCTCTGCCGCGTATGTTCTCTTAGCCGTCCTCCCGCTGATTTCTCTCGTGCTCCATCCTTCAGGAGCGAAACAAGGACGTACACGTACATGAATCCACGCTGTTTTCGAGATTTTGCACTGCGCGAATACTCGTATCACGCGGCCGGTCTCGCGGGTCAAGGGGCCGTGCTCATGTGCATAGCTGGGCGCGTACGTCCTTTGTGGGCTCCCTAATCCCTGTTTTTGGGGGCCTCCGTCCTCTCTTCCTTCCCTCCGTCCCCCTTCCCCTCTTCCCCTTCCCTCCCCCTTCCCTTCGCTCCCTTCTCCTGTTTTGGGGGTCTCCCTCCCCCTTCCCTCCATCCTCGCTTCCCCTGTTTTTTAGGGGCCGCGACAAAGGCACGTGGCAGGTAGGGAAGATGGCAGGGATCGAAGACGAACAGGGCGGGTACGGAGGGTTTGGGACGTACGTGCTGGATGGTGCGCGAGCAGGTCGGAGCGTCAGTCTTGAACTAAATGTTGTTGTTGCTGCTGTTGTATTGTGTGTTGTTGCTGGTGTTATGGTTGTTGCTGGTGTTACTGTTGCTGTTGCCGTTGCTGTTATTGTTGTTGTTGTTGTTGAACACTATTACTTCTAAAGAATTATTATTGTTGGACCCCCTGGTGCACGCCCCCCGCCCAAAACCTAGGCCGCAGCTACATTTTCATCATTTTTCTGCGAAAGCTTCAGAAAAGTGGATTACCCCCGGATCCGGTTTTTTGTTGACGCTCGTTTTCCCTTGCAAAAAACAATAGAAAATGAAAATTCTTGTTCTTAGTTGATCAAATTTCAAGAATCCCTTGCAAAAAATAAGGTAAAGTGGACATTCGCGCTCGCAAGACGAAATCCTTCCAAAACCTTAGGTTTCGTAGCGATTTTAACATAAAAACATCAAAAACCCAATGGTTTTTTAAGAAAAAATTGTCAAAATGTCCTTCCGCGCGCTCTTGCGGATTCATAGGAAACACACCACTTTTTAAACATTTCTGTCAAAAGGGTCTTTGCGTGCTACTTCTTCAGGTGCTTTGAACTTCTCCAACAACGGTTGCGCGCCTGCGAGGGCCACCATCCCTTGCAAAAAATGAGACGAAGTGCACATGCGCGCGGCCGCCGCGCGCGCATGTCGAAATCCTGCCAAACACAATGGGTTTTCAATAATTTCAAGATGCGATGTTCAGAAAACATATGAAAACGCACTACTTTCTCATCCGAAAAATCTCGAAATCCATTCGCGGTCTCTTGATGAATCTTTAAAACCCAAGATGGCCCCAACAGGCGCGCGTACCATCTCACGTGTACCATCTCACGTGTACCGTGTACCACATCATATGTAACAGATGTGATCAACCTCTGTGGGTGTGTACCCCACGCCAGTGTAGTAGCCAGGGTCGTCCGCACGCCACGAAGTGAAGTGTCCCAACGTCATAGGGCGGGAAGCTGGGTGTGGGTGGTCTCGAAGAGTCGTTTGGATATTTGGTAGAGCTTGAACGGCCCCCCCACGAAGTGGGGGTATTGGCTGGTGTCGCAAGAAAACCCTGGCACTGGGGAGAACACTGAGCGTTCGGGTAAAATGATTGTTGTTGTTGTTGTTGTTGTTGTTGTTATTGTTGTTGTTGTGCTGTGTCGTTGTGCTGTTGTTGTTGGTGGTGTTGTTGAACATTATTTCTTCTTAAGAATAATTATTGTTGGGACCCCTGGTGCACGGCCCCCCCGCCGCGCCTAGGCCGCAGCCACATTTTCATCATTTTCGTGAGGAAGCCTCAGGTAAAACGATGTCATCAGGATCCGGTTGTTTTGTTGTAATCCGCTTTCCCTTGCAAAAAACACTATAAAATGACATTTCTTGTTCTAATATATCCAAACTTCAAGAATCCCTTGCAAAAAATAAGGTAAAGTGGACATTCGCGCGCGCAAGACGAAATCCTTCCAAAACCTTAGTTTTCGTAGCGATTTTAACATAAAAACATCAAAAAACCAATGGTTTTTCAAACAAAAATTGTCAAAATTTCATCCCGCGCGCTCTTGCGGATTCGTAGGAAACCCAACACTTTTTAAACATTTCTGTCAAACGGGCTTTTGCGAGCAACTTTTTCGAACTTCTGCAACAACGGTTGCGCACCTGCCAGGGCCATCATCCCTGTCAAATAATACCATGCGGGACACATTCGTTTTTTCTTCGCGCGCGCACGCCGTCGTCGTCGGCCGCGGGGCCCTGAATAGTAGCCACGGTCGTCCGCATGCCACGAAGTGAAGTGTCCGAACGTCATAGGGCGG